GCTGTCCCTGGGGGTGTGCAGAGCTGTCCCTGGGGGTGTGCAGTGCCTGCCGGGCTCTGCCGCTTCCAGGGGCTCTGCCATGCAGGACACTGACTGCATTTTGCAGCTTCTGCTGAAAACAGAGAGGGCTCAGTGCAGCTCAGGGAGAGCCAGGAGCCAGAGGAGTAGGAGGTGGGGAAAGTCTGTTCTTGGTGGCAGGGAAAATCGGGAGCTGTCTCTAGAGAGAGGCAGCCCAGCCTGGCAGTGGGGTGCCCATGGAGGGTGCAGGTGCAAATGCTGCCTGCCCTCTGTATGGCTGTACCTGAGGTGACAGAGTGCACTGGGACACTGGGTTCAGAAAGAGGTGATGGAAGGGAGATTCAAGAAGGTCTACAGTCAGAACTAATTCAAAGATGACAAATGAGAGACTAGTTCACTGTTACTCCTGTTCTATCTCACCCCAAGAATATATTAAAATTTTGTCACAGCTGCTACTAATGTAATAATTGTCTCCTAAAGCATTTTTTCTTCCCATCAGGACTTTGAGATTTATAATGGAAATATTCTCATTATCACAGGTGACCACAGAAATAAAGGCCATAAACATTGTTTATGTTTCATTGACTGAGCCTAACTCAGGCTTCTATTGAGTTCCTTTACAACTGCCATGTATTTTCTCTGCAGATCAAGGATGTAGAAGTCCTCAACTGTGAATATGGCAAAAACACAATTAAGTTCCTTCGCCTGCATAGAGAGGGGAAGAAGCATTTCGTTAAAGAAGTGGAAGTGTGCACACATCTCCGCCTGACTTCTCCTCAGGAGTACCTGGAAGGAAACAACTCTCTTGTGATACCTACAGACACCATAAAGAATATTGTCCTTGTGTTGGCCAAAAAAAATGGGGTATTTTTTTATTTTTTAACTAGCCTTGCTGTTTCTTATGACTTCATTTGGAAGTGTTCGTTATACTTTTTATTTTTAATTGGCATGTCAGATCAGCACTGAAGTCATCTTCAGCCATATGAGAGACAAGTTCTCCTCCTCCACTGCAGACTTCTTTTTTCCTCACAATTAACACTATTTTTGTAATTTTATCATATAAGATCCATCTTTTTTTTTAATTTTTTAGCACATAATACTTCATTATTCCTATATAGCATTTTTAAACAGGTCTCAAAGCATGTGAGACTCCTCTTAATTCTTCTAACTGTGCTCTTACTTCACCAATGGCATCTATCATAACGACAATCTGTAGCGCTAATTGTCTGTCTCTGTAATGAAACCCCATCTCTACCACGTAAAACTTAATCAGAATAATTACTGTTCACTATGCTGAAATAATTATTTCAGCATTGTATCCTCAAAGCATAAGGCTAGCAGTTAATTTCAGTCCAAGGATTGCAGCTCACTGTACCACAGAACAGGAGGTTTTTGATGCAACTGGAGCTGCTATTTGCAGCGTGTGCTGCAAGCTGGTCAAATGACTGGGCACAGTGCACCAAGCCAGGAATAAGAGAAATCTGTGTTTTTAACTACACTGATTCCTCTCAAATATTTACAGCAACCAGAAAAATCTAGTTTTGTACATGAGGTAATTGATTCTTTCTAATAATGCTGTTTGCTCTCTTAGATCCCAAGTTTAGAACAATTTGCTATAGATATCTGCAATCACTTCATGACAACATTTTGCCAAGTGGTGTACGTCAAAACCTACGTTCAAGAAGTACCATGGCAACGTCTGCACGAGGTATCTAAAATACCAATACATTCTGTTTGTTTATGCTGTAGCCATTCCTCGCTCTCTTAGCTCCTGTTTTCCAGTTAAGATAGTATTTATGGCACTTTTACTTACATGTCTGCTCTAAATTGCAGAATGGTGTTCCTCACATCCACTCATTCATATGCGTTCCTGATGGGATCCGCTTTTGTGAAGCTGAGCAGTGCCGAAATGGTGAGAAAAAAAATTGGCAACTTCCCCTACTTCTCAGTAAATATTTCTGCCAATGAGAGACAAAGATGGCTTTAGAGAGAGCTACAGGTGTTACAGGGCTTACAGCACAGCCAAAACGCTCCACAGGTCTAAAACAAAGGATACTTCTAGAGTCTGTTTTGCAGTTCTTGATCTCTGAGACATGGCTGAAGAACTAATGTAGCTCCCATTCGTATGTGCATTCCAAACACAGAATGCTTACAACAGCACATCCAGCAGAACTGTTTTTTATTGAGACAGGACTTAATAGCCTTCCAAGAACAGGCTGCTAACTTTTTTACCCTATGGTATATTCTGCAGTCCCCCGTTATCATTACTCTATGCCCCACTGCTGCAGGCCAACTGCCTATGGTTTGCAGTTATTTTCAAACCCCTGTCAACGTGCTCTAATTTTATTGCCAAGATAGCTGCAGTTCCATTTCTGCAAGCCAGGCTAGCTTGAACATCATGAGCACTCAGGTCTACAAGCAATACTAGAGCGTGCTTACTATTTTTGCACACCAAAGCACTATTTGGCTTAAACAAGAGTTTCATGATACTTAAAAGACATAAACTTTCAAGCTCAACTGTCTTGTCCATAAATTTGCATTCCAAAGGAAGTGTAAAAATTATTTTTACTTGCTATGGCTCACGACAAGAACGTAAGTTCAGTCTCACTGTGATGGTGTTTCATTTAACCCATCTCTCAGACTCCTGGGAACTGAGCTGAGACCACTACATCATTTCACACAATGGGTGTAGAGGTTTTAAGCACTAGTTTGGTATCTATCTCAGCTGCACTAACATAACTTAGAACTATCTCCCATCCTACAACCAGTGGCAAGACCACTTTCAGCTGCAGACAGGGCACAAGTTCTGAAAGGCGCATTTGAGCACTGTCCCTGTGTTCCAAAATGAAGGAGGGAAGGAAGGAGGGAGGGAGGAGAAACACAAGTCTCCAGTGCCTCTTGGCCTCATCTCTTTTAATGCTACCAGTAATATTAACTACTGCTGTACTTCTGGCACCCTCAATAGTATTGACTTTGGTGTCTGGAAAAATGTTAAGAAAGAAATCTGAACTAAAAAAAAAAAAAAAAAAAAGGAAAGAAAAGAAAAGAAAAGAAAGAAAAAGAGTTTATGCTTTCTTGAAAAGCTGCTGCTCTTAATTTAGATTCAATTACATTTTTCATCATCTTGAAAACTCAGCATGAAATTCTGCAATTTCAGATTCTACACAAACAAAAAGCCTTTAAGGCTTACTGAAGAAACCACTTTTCCTTCTTGGACTTCCCTTCATGCAGCCCTTTAGCTGTTTCTTTAGGATTCCCTGCCTAGGTGAACAATAACCAGAGAAGATATTTGAATCACTTCTATTTTTCTTCTAAGAGAATGTTCTCTATATTTAGCATCCTCCTATGCACCTATCAGCCAGACACAGGAGTTCAATTCTCAGTTAATCCTATCTTTTAACACTTTTCTCATCATGAAAAAAAAACCCTAGTGAGACTTAATAGACTTATTTTTTGCCATTATATCAGCTGATAAAAGGCTCAGAGTGTTTTGGAAACTGAAAACATCAAAAGTAACAGAGTCAACATTTGACAATTGAAGACAGCACAAGCACAAAACATACTGAAAGCACAACGTGGGCTGTTCACCTTGGAAACTCTGCCTAGGTGTTATATCCTTCAGAGTGAGTTTCAGGCTGATTGCTGCACAGCCTTTCAGTCTTTTGTTGCAAGGAGCTCTTTCAAACAAGGCTATGTATTTGACTATAGGATAAATGTATCTCCAGTTTCACTGATAGAATCTGCACTACATTAATACCTGTGTAGCACAATCTTATACCCAAGCAATAACTTAATCAAGATCTGAACAAACCCCAGAATATCCTGTCCAAGGACAGTCTCTTCTTTACATCTTTTTAAGGCTTTGGTAAATAAGTGGGCAATATAGGCAAGACTACAGATATACCTCCATAGACTCATTCAAAACCAATAATGAATGTAAACAAGAAAAGATAGATAAAAGAAACATAAGACGCAGTTTCAATAATATCCAGTTACAGAGTAGTTTAAAAAAACCCCAAATCTCTAAACAATCATGCAGTTGAGAAATGTCTACCACAGTGGAATTGCTTCCAGTATAAATTCCTGCAAAGACATGGTTTAAAGTTAAATTTGTCAGTCTTCCCAGTCCAAGGCAGGATTACTGTGCACGAGATGTATTCAAGGATTACTAGCTAGTGCGAGCACCAAGAGCAGCACAGAAACAGCAGCTTGGGCTTCAGCCACTGACTGTCTGTACAGGCCCTGAATGAGCCTGCATGCCATGAAGTTTCTACTTTCTGAATCTGCTTTTTGGCAGTTCTGGTGAGTGAAATTTTCAGTTATCAGTTTGGTGTGCTCTAAATGACTGACTGCATATAATTTTTAGCCACCATTCAGAAGGTGTGTCAGGAGAAAACATTCAGGACACAATTGTTTGATCTTTAGGAGATGGTAATGCACTCATGCAGCAGTGATCCACAACAGCACATTTTATAAGTAGTGGCTAAGAGCAAAATCACTGTCAGTTTGAATCTGTGGGTGGCATCTGTATCGATGCCAGTTCCTGCTCATTAGCTGAGCTGCAGGGATTTGCACTGGCTCCTCTCCCTCTCATTCTCAGGGATGCAAAACTCCCAACAGGATGGGTATGTAAAGCAAATTTCTGACTGAGGCTCCGCCTTTATATAGATTGGTTTTGCACTCGTCTGAGTTGTTACAAAAGGGGCACCATACCTCTCCTGTACACAACAGCACTAGTAGCCTATTTCATTTCCCTTTAGAGAAATCAGTCATTCCTAAGTTGACATCAGTGGGAGCCAAGCCAATGCATGTCCCAGTTCCAGGTGGGATTCTCCATTTTCTGGACTGAGCTCTGACTTCAGTAGTTTTTGTCTTGCTTCTTACTGTTCTGCTAACATCAGCGTGCAGAAAATTATTATCTGCTTTCTGGCTTTGGAGTTGTCACTGCAAGTATCACCCAGAGTTTTTTTTCTCTCTGCCTGAAAATGAGCTCCTATTGTCTTGTAATTTTGGATCACAGGTCCTCTGGTCATCTTTGCTGGAATTAAAGACCTGAAACTTATGAAGACGACACAGTCTGGATTTGAAGGGTTCTATAAGAACGAACACACCACACTTCCTGAAAGGCATGACAGGATTCTATGTGGAGAGCTCTTCTGCAAGTGGTCATATGGCGAATGCAAGGATTTTGACTTTGATTGCATATGGTATATGTCTTACCAAGTAATACTGATACCTAATCTATGGCCACAAAGTCCCTCTATACAATACAGCAGGTGTAAGGGCCAGATCTGCATCTGCTGTGCACCAGCCACTTGCAGGTCTCAGTGGTGGCACTAAGCTCGTTACAAGGAGTGAGAGGCATGTCTTGGGGGTACTCCTCTCTGATGCTGCCTCAGTGGACAGGATTTAAATGAACAGTTCAGTGTTCAGTACAGAACACATCTGGAGAATAAAATAATGATTTTTTTAGATACTTTTAGCAAAACCTGCTTGTGAATTCTAGAGCTGGTGGGGGAGACCTGGGAAGAATTTGGAGGTGACAGGACAAATACATCATTCCTCCACAAAGACACAAAAAATACAAAAACCCCACCTCACAGTAAAACATTTTGGATCTAAACAGAGAGAGCTGATACAAAGTTTTGTAAGAACCTGTGTTACCTCTAGGAACAAAATCCGTGAATGTATCCTTGAAGCCTTTTCCGGACCACCTGACTGTGGGGAATATTCACCCTCATATCAGAAAACTGTCAACTCTATCCAGATGCTTGTCCTTTCCAAAGTGTCACAGGTATCTTCTTTCCTCTTTATGATGTTTTATTTAAACAATAGTGAATGTTAATTGGATGAGCGAGAAACAAACATGAGACTATTATTTCCTCTGTCAGACTGAAAACTGGTGATACAGCCAGATGGTCAGAAAAAACATGAACACACTGAGAAGTTCCTATGCTGCTTCCCAGGTGTGAACACAACAGGGGACAATATCACTCAGTGCTTGGCAGCACTTGAGTAAAAGTGAAAGGTGTCCTACACGACACATGTTCCCTAGATTACATTTAGTCAACTGTACTGGGAGGGCTGCATTGTTCTTTTTCTACAGCAAGTGAAAAGCCTGCTAGGCTGTTGCTGAAGAGGTGCCCTAATTCACTGTCTCATCCATTTTCATGGTTTCAGGTACAGGTCATAGAAGTGGTCTTGAACAACACTTTTTATAATGTCCTAGACATGAAGAATCTAGGCTTGACCAATGACAAAGAAGTAAGTAAATGCTTCAAACATAACTTGCCTGCACTCTTTAGAAATACTCAGCCTTAAAGCATAGCAGCAGTTCTGCACACAGCAGAGCTAGAGGGAGCAAACTTTCTCACCCAGCCCCAGTAAAAGCTCCACCTTACCTCTAAGGTTTACAGTTTACAAAAGAATAATTAATTGCCTTCTTGCATTGTTGATAAAAGCTAAAGGAGCACAGTGGAATGCTTTGGACATCAAAAGGATCTGTAACAGAGACTCTCTCTGAAAAATCAATTCCGTTTTCTCCACTGAATTTGACTTTCAGTTATAATGTCAACCTGTGCAGTTTTAACCAAGCAAAATGCACCATGGCATCCTTTCCCATTGCCAGGCAGTGTGAAAAGCCAGCCCACTGTGGCTCTTCTTTCTGCTCCATTGGCACCACCACTGAGGCCAGGGAGCATCCTTGGTGCAGTGGGTTATGAGTAGGTCAGCGAGGCCACAGGCTGGCTCCGGGTGACAGAGCACCAGCACTCTAAGGGAGCAGTGAAGAGATGTTTCTGTAGCCATTAGGAGCTAAGGCAGGTTGGTCCAACATGGACAAGGTGCAAGCTTGGGATGAGGCAGAGGGTGAGAGATGTAGGGGATGAGATGTATTTTCTCCTCCC